GGCTTTAAGAGAGATTATTTTTGGAGTTGTGTGAGTCAGTTGAAAACTACAGCTGCACCAGACAAATAGCCTTGACCTTGCCAAAAAAAAAAAGAGTCAATATCTGAGAAATTTCAAGAAGGTAGGGTTAAAATTAACATTCTTTGGCAATGTACAAAGGGCTGCGTTCCAATGAATTACTCCCGGATTGAACCAAGCAAGAGTCTGTCTGGGAAGGTTCATAGTCACACTGCAATGTTTAGGCACAGGTTTTCCTTTAATTTCTGGATCAATATGGATGCCATGGTTAAAATGGGATATCAAAGGGTACCCATCCCTGCTCTATGAAATCCTTGTTTATTAAGCTTCTGCAAGCACGGCATCGTTTGAGCCGATAAATGGCTGGAAACATAAGCCAAGTGTCTTTCGCGGCTCCTAATGATGTCAGGAAAATTGAGAGCCTTCAGGCTCCTCGGCGTGGCTGCTGGGATTTGTGAATATCACGTAGCAGCTAAGCAGAGCGACAATTCAAGATTTCTGCAGCATGCGTGCCCACTTGAGAACGGGGGTCACTCGCACCTGCTGTGACCTCTCCTGCCACGTTCACACTAATGGCTTTCAGAAATAGGAGAGACTCTCAGATCTCTGGTTTGTTGGCGTCCTGATCTAGGCAGAGAGACGTTATGACAGTTCATGCGAGTGCTAAAGGAGAAGCCGAGGCAAATGCTTCGGCTTTCCCCAGATGCATCAGAACAAATCTGCAAGCAGGCTGTTGGATGTTATGGAGACCTTCCCAGACACATTCCCCAAAGCCTTTCCCCCTCTTTGTGGAAATCTGAAGTGCCCCCGCTCCCCGCCCACAGCGCAGGCAGAACCGGCTGTAGCCTGCAGTGCTTAGCACAACGAGCAGAGCTCCCCAGCACCATCCTGCAGTGAACCAGGGCCCAGCCGAGCTGGGTGGTCGCCAGCCCTCTCCTCGGTTGTTTCCACGCCAGGCTGCGCACAGCTGCAGTGCAGGGAGGTGCTGCAGAGCCCCAGCTGGCGGCGCAGGAGAGATGTGGAGCCTTGTGGCAGCTGCAGAGCACGCCCTCCCACAGGCCATTTCTCCCAGTGCTTTTCCCTCACACAGCCTGCAAATGCCTTTTGCGACAACCGCCATCCTTCGGGTTGGACAGTCAAGGGATGCAGGGGGATGGGCGAGCAGATGTGGAGCTGGGGCGAGGGTTTGGACACGATGGCCTCATGAGTCCCTCCAACTCCCATTCCATTCTCCAATTTGACAGCAGCCATTTTTACGTTCTCTCTCAAACCGTCAGTTCAGGTGTGTGTCCCTCTCCAAAACCTTTCGTAGTGAAGATGGAGGCAAATGATTCATTTTTCATCAGTGCAATTTCCACATCCTATTTCAGGACTCCTTTTCAACCACAGTGTGTGTCAAAAGATCCCCCCCCCACCAGTTTCCTGTTCCCAATATCTATTTGCATATAACATGTACCTATTTGCCACCCTCTTTCCATCTGCAAGTCTACAGTTCAGATGTTGTGCTGGCTTCCTTTCGATTTGCTCATACACTTTCTCTTTGATAGCATCTCCCATAGCAATTTGAAATAATACACTTCCTGGAGGAATTTGTCCTTCCTAACACCTGCAACTCATTCTCCAATTTGGGAAAACGTAAGAAAATTTTCTTCTGGAAAGAAATGGAACTCTGCTGAAGGTTTTCCACCCACACACTTGCTGAGTCCTATAGGATGCAGGCGTTGCGCCCAGGCGATGGCTTGCTCATTTTCCACCAGATCCCAGGTGCCTTCAGTACTACCTCAAAGAGCCTCTTCCCTCTTGTCAGCGCTGCATCTAATTGTCCACAGGCAGAGCAACGTTCTGCGTTTTCACCATGGCCTGAATTTTCATCCAACAAGTCCGAGTGAGAAGAGCAGAGGGAACGGTGCCTTCAGATTTGTTTCTGCACTTCCAGAGCAACATCAGCACTTTGGTTAGAGAAACGACTCTCTGACCCCGTTTTGGCCTGACAGTTCTACCCAGAATGATTCAATGGATAAATTGTTTCTGTTGTGATTCCCATTCATTGCAGTCTGCGCCTTTGTTGACATATGCAGCACTGGCCTGTCCCACAAAACACACTCCACATTCCAGTAGGTATCACAGAGGTACCTTCTCCCCCTGCTCTTTGTTCTCCCAAGATTTTGAGAAGCTCAGAAACGCCAGTACCGGACACCATTTCACCCATCCTGACTTTCAATCTTCTAGCATGACCATAAAAACACAAGCATGGCGTTATCCCTCTTGAATTATTTCAGGGCGAGTCATTTCTCTGGAGACATGGCTCCCATCTTTTTTCTGCTCTGCAATTAGTTTCCCTCTCCTCTCCTCTCTCTTGCCTGCATTCAGATGCCATCTTTCACCAAAGCACTCAAGGCTATTAGACACCTGAGGCAGTTGGGGCTTATTCGATCATGTCCCCAGTAGATGGAGTCTCTGGAACAAGATGCTGGCAGTGTCTGCAGTCTATGAGGGTTCGTTTGGAAGCTGCTTCATAAAGTCAGGGACGCCAACCCTGACTGGCCTAAAGATTCATTTGTCCAACCGCAAGAGACAGCAAACCACACAAGGTTCGAAAAACAAACGCTCCTTCATGAGGCGCGCATGCAACCATTCAGAGCAGCCCGTTCCTCGTGTCTGAGACCAGCCCAAATGTTTCTCCAGCTTCAAGAGCAAGCCCAAGTCCCTGGCCCTCTCCCCATCCGCACAGTGGTCCCACCTTCTGCGCATTGCGAGCTAGAGAAAGCCGGCCCATTCCATGCTCACCTTAACAGCAGACAGTTGCGCAGAGAGTTGGATGCCTGCGATTGTCTCCTCAGCATTATCACAACTATGGATGCTGTTTCAGCCAACCATTTGTTATACTAGAGTTACATTCATGTACACCAAAATTTTGCAACTGGAGGGATGCTCTTCGGATCGAGACCTCAGCAAAGTAACAAAGAGTTCAGAGGAAGGGAATTGGACATTCCTTGCCAATAATGTTCACAATCTTGCTGTTGATGGCAATCCCAAGGCCCAGCCACTGGGCTTCTTTCCAGGAATTCTGCAAACGAGTCACTAGGATGATAAGGCTAGATCCTTTTCTAAAAGCAAATGTTCCACCAGCCAAAGAGTTGCCTTGCTCACGCAGCTCCTGAAGCCAAACGTCTGAGGATCAGGATTTTAAAAACCGCAGACCAGCTCTTTCACTCCATTGCTGGCTGGGAAGCCCTGCTGCTTCCATTCTAACTTCTGGGAGATCCAGCCAAGGTCTTGCTAAGAGCCCACACCTTACCTGACAGGTGAGTGCCAGGAGCTATTATGGCCTCAGGAAAAGGCGAGCGGTCATATTAGCTTTCGCACAGTGACCCAGGAAAACTGAAAGAACGTTCAAGTGATTCTTTTATTGCAAAGCACAACAGTGGCCAGTTCAACCGTCTTACCCTGAACATTCCATCAACAAAGGACCGCTGCTGGGATCCTTGGACAGAAGCACGTTTTAAGCAGGAGGTACTTACTCATGGCTAGCCAGGCGATTTTCCTTCGCTCGGGGCAAGGAAAGCGACTGCAGCCTGCTCCGCGTAGGGTGAAGGTGCAGGCATGCAAAGGGGCCGGTTCTCACCTTGGCAAACCTCTTCTGGTCTCCCAGATTTCTTTTGCATCACTGAGAACAGACTTGTTGAGAAATTTGGCAAAAGCCATTTCCTGACCTTTCCACAGCCAGAAGAGCTTTAAAAAGTGTGCGTGTGTTGGTGGGACAGAAGGGGTAGCAGGGACAGGAGGGGTCGCCGCCACACCCTTCCTCTGGGACCTCAGAAACAAGCTGCTTGGCTTTGGGCTTGCCACAGGGCTTTCCTCACCCTCGTCCCCAAGAGCGCTTCAGCTCTCCCCTCCAGAGTTCACCGAAGGAGTCAGCCAAACTTCCCCGTTTATCCTGCTTACCACGCTGCGTCCTCCATGACGCGGGCTGGAAGCAGGAACACGTGCTCTGCCAGGGGTCAGGCAGGCCGAAATGCCTATTGTCCGCCAACCCAGTTTAAGGGGTCATCGGAGGGGGTGACTGGTGGGCGCCACGAAGCGGACTCTGAGCGGGCCCCCACCAGCTGGAGAGAGCAAGGGTTGTGCGAATGGCACATGCGCCTGTCACCGAGCAACGGCTCTGCCTCCATCTGTTTGCTGAAACAGAAGAGCAAGGCACGCCACAATCGCGGCTTGGCTGCCAAGAGAGGAACGTGGGAGGAAAGGCGAGCTTCCCACACTCCTCCCGCTGCAGCTGCAGCCCTTCTTGGAGGGGAGGGGGCGGCCTGAACAATGTGGGATGGGTTGTGGGGGGGGGGGGCTGGCACGGGATCAATAGACCCAAATCAGGCAGGTTTCCAATGCAGATAGTTATATTGCTCTGCACACTTCTATTCAAGTATCAGATAACTGGCTGTTTTTTAGCAAATAAAGCCATATGAGGATGATGAAGATGAGGGTGATGACAGTGAGTACTTATCTCACTTTTTTCCTGAGGTACTCAAGACAGCTGGGGGATGCATCTGCCAATGCCATTTATTTTCCCTTTCCCTATTTTCTTCAGAGACAGACTGCAGCAAATTAAGCTATGAAATGACATCTCTGAGGGAAAAGCCACTTCTGAGTGATGGAACGACTCCCTCAATCAGTATTGCCCTTCCTCAGAGTGGACAGAGATGTTCACCCCACTTTTAGAGTAGCCCCCCTCCAAAAATAAACTCCTCAAAATGAGATGCTTTTTGCTAGAGTGACAAATTGTCACGTGAACTGCCTCCCTGTGCCCTCCACATTTTTACTCAGTCCTTAGAAAGGAGCTTGCTCAGCGACAACAAATGCTACCAGGGCGGGGGGGGGGAGGCTATTTGTGGGTGCCGCTTCCTGGCCTCACCTTCTGCTTGTCGTTGCGTTGCAGGGTTTTCACTGGGACTTCTCTCGAGTTGGACGTAGGCTCTTGAGGCCAGATGGCTTCGGCTGCCCTGAAATCTGGAAAAAGAAGTGCTTACACAGCAGTCAAAGTCGATCCTGACGGGGACTACTGTACGCCCGGCGCATTTGACTTAGAGAGGCTGTTCTGGAAAGGCAGCCCGAAGTACACCCATGTCAACGAAGTCTGGCCCAACCTCCACATAGGAGACGAGTAAGTGATGGCAAACGCACCTCATTCGCAGCATCCAAAGCTCCGACCGTGGGGACCGTGGGCGTCCTAACTGGATCCCACTGAAGGCATCGCAATCTGGGGCCCTGCCGTGGACATGCGGGGCCCGGCTGGATCTGGAGAGCCATCCCTGAGCTGCCGGGAGAGGAAGTGGGGTGCGGGGAGAACTGGACGGGAATGCTTGGCATGGGAACATGGCCCCTGCCCACGGTAAAGCAAAACAGCCCTGCTTTTCCCCACGCCTTGCACCTTTGGAAAATGCTAGATGCCGGACACTTCCCAGCAGGGCTCGGGACATTCTGTATCGGAAGGCACGCAGGTGCTTTTGTGCTGCCCTCTCGCACGCTGCGGACGGTGTTGGCCTGCAGCCAGAACCTGGGCAAGGCTGCCAGTCTGTCAAATGACCGCCACATGGAAAGGCAAGAGACGGGGGCTCTCCAAGCTCCCAGCAGCCTCCCTGTCTCCTCTGGAGAGGATGGTATGGAGCCGCAGAGGTGCAGGAGCAGCGAGTCTGTCCAGTGAGGCCAAATTCAACCTGGGGAAAGCTCCCGGGGTGCCGTGTCAGATGAAGCCATCAGCAGAACACGGCAAAGACAGCCGTGGAGGGGCAAACATCCCCAAAAGGCCAGCTCATGTAGTTGCCAAGCCCCGTGGTCTTCCTTAAGCACCATCAAGTCATGGAGTGAAGTGAGCCTGGGTGGAGGGACCCTGCAAAGCTGAATTTCCATGTGCAGCCTCCAGCCCTGCAGTGGCTGATTCACACGTGTCCCTCGTTGCCGGCTAAAGCAGTCCTCTGTCCTCGGGTCACCGAACGGGTTTCCCACACTCTTGTCCAACAGCCTTTTCTGTTTCGAAAACAGGAAAACGGCACTGGATCGGTACAGCCTGGAGAAAGCCGGCTTCACCCACGTCCTCAATGCAGCCCACGGCCGGTGGAATGTGGACACGGGGCCAGAGTACTACAGTGATATGGCCATCGAGTACCACGGCGTGGAGGCTGACGACCTCCCCACCTTCGACCTGAGCCAGTTCTTCTACTCTGCAGCCGCCTTCATCGATACAGCGCTTCAGAAGGAGACGAGTAAGGAAAAGGGGGTGCTGGCCTGGCGTTCAGGGCAGGGCAGGGCAGGACAGGCCCCAAGGGCATTGTCCAGCAGGGATGGACAAGGGTGGAAGAAAGGAGGGTCTCTTGCTGTCCCCACTGATCCTGAGGCCCCTGCAGCCCCTCCCTGACTCTCAGCTCAGTGGCTGTGTCCTCCTTTGAAGGGGCTGGTAGAATATCCTCAGAACCATCCGACTCGTCCTCTGCCTCGCGAGTAAAGGATCTCCCCGCCAGCCCAGAGACCACTGCAACGTGGGCATCCATCAGTCACATAAAAATGCAGGTCTCTTTATTAAATTCAAGCACATTCCTGTGGTTTTCCTCATCTCAAGTCATTATAGCTGCCCTCCATCATTGCAAAATTCAGCTTCCTTTGTTCCTTTTCCCATTGTGATACATGCAGCCCAACTTTAAGCGTGTTTACTTGGAAGCAAGTTTCTCTGTATTCAATACTCCTCCCTTCTGTGCATGTCTGAACTGAAAAACCTAAGGGTACAGTACAGACATCAGAAGGACCAAAATAGGACCTTTTTAAAAAGTGTGCTTTTCTTCACTTGAATGCTGAGTGACTTACAGCTGGAACCTCTGCATGTTTACAAAAAGCAAGTCCCACAGAGTTCACTGCACCAAATTTGCCGATCAGCCATTGCCTGTCCTTGGCTGAGCTGACGTCTCAGTCGAGGGCTCAGTCCAGGACAGCTGACCTTAACTTCCATGCCGTAGGCTATTGCAAAACGTGACCTGCCCAGGAGAGGGGAGTGAAGGGGCGCTTGCGGTCGAGGTTCTGAACGGGCTGTCTCCACTTCCACAGACAAGATTCTGGTCCACTGTGCCATGGGGCGCAGCCGCTCAGCGGCCCTGGTTCTGGCTTACCTGATGATATACAAGAACATGACCGTGGTGGACGCCATTGCCCAGGTGCTCCAGCACAGGTGCATTCTCCCGAACCGTGGCTTCCTGAAACAGCTCAGAGAACTGGATATCAAGTTGGCCCTGGAGAGAAGGGATGCCGCGAATGGGACGGACAGTAGCACGGAAGAGGAAGCCTGCCCTGGGATGGAGAGGCTGCATCCCGACCTTTCCAGAAAAGAAGTAGCTAAAAGAGAATAAGAGTATTTGAAACGGTTAGGTGAAGAGAGTCATTTGTTACTGGGGGGCATGCAAGGGGAGACATCAATAATCGGTCCATTGACTTAATGGCATTTTCAGCTTGAAAGTCCAAAGAGCAGGCGAGAAAGAGAGCGGAGCAACCTTAACGGGAGCCTGGGATGCACAGCAAAGACGACTCTGCCTGAAATGCCGCTCGTCAGAGCTCTCCGTCCCAGTGAATCCCATACCTCGTGTTCAAAGATAAATACACCACATCTAAAAGGAAGGGCCAGCTGGGATTTGCAGGGATCCCCTGCTGGAAATAAGGGGATCATTTAATATTATGGGCTGGAGGCAGAACAACTGCTGTCATTTGCAGAAAAAAAGAGAGGTGCCTGCAACATGTTGGCAGGAGCTACCGACTGGTTAGCTGGACCTTGTCACTTGTCTCTAGCTGGACTTTTTGTAGGTAGATCTTAATAGCATTGCATGGGACACTGATGGGGAGAAAGCAGAGCCGCTTAGGGACTGGCTGGGTGGATGTCAGTGGGAGAAGCCAATTCCTAAGGTGTCTTGGTCTCTGAACTTTCAGGAATCCACAGGATAACACAAGCAGACACCGAGACCAGAAAGGAGTAGGCAAGTCAAGATTAAATAGGCCCGGAGGTGCAGGCTGCAGCCTTTGGGACACAGAAAACAGTCTTGCAGCTAAATTTTGGAGCAACAGAATTGTCTAGGCTGCTTCTAGTCTGGAACACTCCCGTCTGGAAGTCACTGGGGCATGAACAGCCAGGTCAGTCTTTTCCAGGCAAAGCAACAGCTGGTGAACCAGACAAAACGCATTAAAAATACTCTCAGTCACCACCAATGTGGGGGTTAGATTGCCAGGTCCCTGTTGGATGGAGCAACTTTTCTGCTGCGGTACCTGTCTGCTAAGATCAGAGGAAAGGCAGCAGAGGGTGCTGCCATAAAGTTGCTCCCACAGGGAAGGAGCAACCACTGAGGAACCCAGGGCAGAGGTGCTGTAGGCATCCTGCCAAACATACTGCTGGTCCCAACCATCTCAAGTTTAGAATGCAGGTCTTATTGCAATACCTACAGGAAGTATACAGCTAAAGATGTAGCAATCCTGTTATGGGAATACTCAATCTACATATATTTTGAGTCACGTGTTGCAGAAGGATTTCTATGCACTTACGCTCTGCAGAGGATCCCAAGAACAGCTAGTCAGCAGACAAACCTTTAGTATTTCTGTGTACTAAACCTCCAGATACACACAGAGTGCTGTTGCAGCAGTGTTACCAGTGCAATTAACAAAACTGGTTGGATGCCTGAATCCCCCAGGAAGGCATTCCGTTTGTGCCAGGGACTCTTTTTAACCGCCCTCCAAGTTCTTTGAGGCTCACATGCAGAAACTGAAGCCTTGCAAAGCAATAGTTTACAGAAGTCCATTCTGAAAGCCACGTTTTCTGTGCAAAACTCCAGGTGTACCTGCTTCAAAGAAAAGTCCCAAGTTTTACAGAAACCAGCAACACAAACCCAAATTAGCTTGTTTTTATTTTGCAGTGAAGTATCAACAAGTCCTTCCATTGCCCCTAAACTCTTTAAAACTATTTAAAAAGTTATGTTTCATGCAGGTGCTCTATTTTTTTTTTTTTGAAATACACCTCAATGAAAAGTATTATTTCCATGTGGTAGCTTGTATTATAAAATTACTGCCAGGGCAAAGTTGTTGAACACAAAGTGGCCAGACTCACATTTAATTTCATTAAGGAGAGGTTTGGAATTTGGAAAAACAGCAGCAGCAGCACTAGTTAATATGTCCACGCTTGAGAGCTGCCTGGAAAACACTGTACAGCCACAGATCAGATTCTTAGAAATTGGCCCTTCTTCTTCAAGAACTCTAGGATGGCTACCATCTGGGCCCAGGGATGTATTAACTGTTTGACAACAAGGCTGAGAAGTTCATCTTTTTCCTTAGACTCTCTTGACTGACTCCATCAGTTCAGGAAGAGCTGTCTGCTCTGGATCCTCATTTAGGAAGAGCAATGAAAATAATTCATCCAGCTTCTCTGTAAACTCTCTACCCTCCTTTAATTCTTTTATTATCCAATGGTCCACCTGCCTCTCTAGCAGGTTTCTTTCTTCTGATCTAGTTAAAGAATTCTTTATTGTTGGTCTTGAGGTTGTCAGTGACGGGCTCCCCACAATGCTTCTTTGCTTCTTCCTTGAGCAAGCTTGTGCTCCTGCTCATTTTCCTGATTTGGGCAAGACTTCTTTTTCTTGAAGGCAAGCGTCTTCTAAGAGCTACCCTGCCTCTGTTTACTAACCATGCTGGTGACCTTTCAGACTTCATAGTACATTTCCCAACTTGTGGTGTGCATGCTATTTATGCCTTTATTATGGTTTTGAATACTCTCCAGCTATTTTGAAGGACTTAACCCTCTTGACCTCCCTTTTCAACCTTTTTTTTTTTTTTTTTACCAGTTCCCTTGTTTTAGAGGATTTTCCTCTTTTTAAGGCAAATGCAACTGTGTTGGACCCCTTCAGCTACCTTCCACCTAAGAGTAGATTAAACCTGAAAGCACCATGGCCACTGTTCCCAACTGGCCAAACGACGTTTACATCCTGTACTGTGTCTTGCACATAGGGCGAAATCCAGGATTGCCTTCCCTTTGGTTGGTTCCATGCCCAGCTGTTCCAGAGCACAGTCATTCAGGGCACTGAGAAATGTAACCTCTTTGCCAGAACTGGAGCATACGTTTGCGCAGTGAAAGTAGGCAGTGGAAGTCACCTGTCATTACAGCCCTGCCTTTGAGACCTCCCTATTTCATCATCGGGAAGCCCATGACTGGTGGCCCAGCTGCTCTGGGTCACCTGCCATTATTTTTTTAAAAACCTTTTATATGCTGTCCCTTAGGAAGGCTTGCAATCTCAGGAAGGCTTGCAATCATTAAAATCAAAATACAATAAAACGATCTATAATAATATAAGTAACATATAACCAATACAAATAAAATAAAATAAACTATCTGAACAGTATGCTGGTCACATGAAAGTGGAAAGGAATGTACCATATTACACATGCATGTTACCTGGCAGTCAGTCCTGACGAGCTCTTCAAGCCAGGCTTTGAAGACTGCGGCTCGAGTTAATTCAACCGTTAATGGCTGCCACGAGGCAGCGTCCCGGCGGTCAGCCTGTCTGGCTGGCATCTCTGGCAACATGGCTGCCACCCCCGACGCGTGGCTGAGAGGGATGCAGGGATCCAGCACCAGGCTTGGACCAGTTCAGCACATGCCCCAAAGCAAGAACTAAAGGCTGGCGGAAGATCTGTGAGGGCGTCTCCACGCCCACAGGCTGCTCTGCACTCACCGTTCAGACAGCACGCTCGTCCTACCTGGCCTGCTGCTCTTCCAGTGGATGAACCACCCGGGAAAGATTGCTCACTATTATGGTGTAAAAGCGGCTATGAGGAGCGGTGGTGCGCGAGGACGGCCCCTTCCCCTCCCTCAACAGGTGATCGGTCCAACGTGGGCCACAGCCTGGTGATGTTTTCTCAAATGTTCTGGTTCGTTCTTTCTAGAAGAGAGCGCTCTCGTGTTCCTGGCACTCAGGCATCGTGTGCCTCCACATGACGCGGAGCTCCCACTGCCAAAGAGGCTCGCTCAGCTGCCTGCGCTCTGAGCTGCACCCACCGAGCCCGGGGCTGCGGCAGCAGGGCCGAACATGCCCTAGGCACACCAGACCAGGACAAGACACAAGGCTAAAAATGGCTCATCATAATTTATTTTTATGTTAAAATGTACAGCTTGTCTTTGCTTTATTTAAGTGACTGACTAAAAAGGTAACATAAATACAAGAGAGTGTCACTGGGTCTATTTTTATACACGAATCAAGCCACTTCTGGGCTCTTACAGTCACTCTGTACAGGTACAAAGGCTACAAAAAAAGGAAGCCATATAAACAGACACCAATACCTTCTGCTTTTTTTACATGCGCTCTTTATGCGTCATTTGAGCTATTCACACGCTACTGCTCTATTTAGTTTTCTTAAAAAATAACTCCAATATTTTATAAAGATAGAAAAATCTACAGATGGAATGAAAATGTAAAGTTAGAGGCATTTCCATAAAATAGCAACTTTACACCAAATTCACTTTTTTTAAAATCCTGCCAAGTATCCAGATATCTATGAAAATGTTTCAAAAACGTGATACACACTGATATGCTTCATTCAATCAATAAAGGTTTGCATTTTTTTAAAAAATCAACATAAAGAAAACAGTAAGCTGCCTTTTTTTTTCCTTTTTCTCTGGGGAAAAATGTGCCACCAGGACAGAAAAAAGACTTGCCTTGGCACGTAGCACTTCCCGCTCAAGGATGCAATCCATCAGGCCACTCTTCTGGGTCAACCCCATGGAAATGAACCAGATTTGTGCAAGAGCACGTGAACACAAGGGGATTTCCCAGCGGATTGCACTCAAAATGCCTAAACTAATCACAACTGGAATAGCTTTCACAGCTTTTTTTCTTTTCTTTTTTTAAAAAAAACCAGATTTTAAAAATCTAATTAACAAAAATATATTTATTTCTTAAGCCCCTTCAAACTGCTCCCCACCCCACCCCCATCAAGGCAAAAAACACAAATCAAGAGGATGGCTTAGCTTACTGTTAAGCACAACACTTGTACAGTACTACAGAACGCACTGTCACTAACAAAGACATTAGCGGCATGCGAAAGTGTCACCTTGAGGAGCAAAAGAGTCCATGAATACAATGCAAAAAGGCATTTACATGGTGGAGAAGGCGGGGAGGGGCGGGGAGGGGAGGGGCGGGACAGGAGGGAAGCTCACAGTCCAGCACAACATCAGAGTTACTCCAAAACGAAGATGCACATTTCCGATGGGAGCAGGCACATTAGAGTGGCTGTGAGCCACCGGCTTGCTTTGCGTGTCCGCAGAACAAGGAAGAACTTCTGCCTCACTATAGAACATCAGTTATACAAAAGACTGCAAACAAAAACAAGACTGCAGAACAAATAAAAATAAGAGAGAGCACATTTATATAAGGCTTTCTGCTGCATACGTTTTTTTTCTTTTTTCATGGTGCCAACGAATGTTTTTGCATTCACACCGGTTGCTGGTTTTGAAATCATGCTTGCCAAAGGATGTGTTTTTGTGCGGGTCGGGTCCTGGCGCGCCAGTTCGGGACAGCCGCCGGCTCCCCTTCCCTCCCCTCCCCTCGCCTCCCCCACACAGCCCTACCTACGCATGTACGAGCCGTTCAGAGACTGCTTGGACATGCCGGCGTTGATGTAGCCGTGATGTGCCGGAGGGGAGTACATCATGTTGCCGTGCGGGCTGCTCTGCATGGACTGCTGCGCGTACGGCTGGCTCCCCATCATGCCCATCTGCATCTGCACGGGGTACTGGGCGGCCTGGTTCATGTAGCCGTGATTGGCGTGGTAGCCGCCGTTCATCATTGGCTGGGACATGCTGTACCCGTTCATGGCGTTGAGGGTGTTCACGTTCACGTTCACCGAGTTGACATTGTACGCGGGGGCCGGCATCAGGTTCACGCTCATGTTCATGCCGCGCTGCATGGTTAAGGTGCGTGCCGGCCCTTGCATGGCCACGGCCTGCGAGGCGCGCCCGTAGAGCTGTGGCTGGTGGGCGGCGGTGGCGGCTGCCGGCGGCGGCGGCGGCAGGGTCGCCGCCTTAGTCCTTACGGAAATGTGGCCTTTGCCAGGCATCTGGGTCTGCAGCCTCTGGCCGTGGGGCAGGCCGATGTTGGACGCGGCCATGTTCCGCTGCAGAAGGGGCGGCGGCAAGTTCATGGGAGGCGGAGTGAGGTTAGGGGGCGGCGTCATCGTGGCCTGGACCTGGCCTCCTCCTGGCACTGGGTGAGGAGACTGAGAAAGCTGGACCAGTCCCGTGCTGCTGAGAGGGGCGGGCAAGGAGGCACTATTTGCATAGGAAGTGACAGCGGCCGAGTGGCTGTAAGGCAAGGAGTGGTCCATCAGCGTGTTGGTCAACTGCTGCAGCTTGGCGAGGCTGAAGGTGGCGGACGGCTGCGGGTAGTGACCCGCCGCAAACTCGCCCTGGCCCATCCTCTCGTACAAGCCGAGGTTGGCGCCGCCGGCCTCTGCCATGTCGTTCAGCTGCATGGGCGGGCTGAAGTGCGCGGCCATGCCGCACTGCGGAAGCGGCTGGCTGCTGCTGGGGGGCCGCTCGACGGCGCAGCCCTGTGGGGACTTCACGCTGCAGGGCGGGGGCGAGCCGATGCTGGCGCTGGGCATCATGCTGCAGCTGCTGCTCCCGCCGCCGGACATCTGCTGGGTCACGGCACAGCTGCTCTGCGTCATGTTGCTGGAGGTGAGGCTGCTGTACGAGCAGCTGCTCTGCGCGGAGCCGCTGCCACAGAGGCCACTGCCCAGCGTGGAGTCGTAGCTGCTCGGGTTCTCGTAGTTCTCGGTGGTGCTCTCAATGCTGCCCAGGTCGCTGAACCCACTGTCCACGACCTGCTGCGAATGGTCAGAGACAGAGGGGACGTCCATCATGGGGCTGGTTTCCATGTTCTGCAGCGAGGGCACCGAGATGGCGCTCGGGTCGGGACTGATCTGAGCATAGCTGGTTTCCAGCGGAGGCACATTTGGACTGCTGACAGAGTGGACTGACTGGCCGGGATGGGACTGGACGGACGAGATGGGGCTGCTGTGGCCGGACGGCTGGCAGTCATCCCCCAGCGTGGCCATCTGTGGGCTCTGGTCTGCGTTGGAGTAGGTCTGCAGGCTCCGACAGGCCTCCTGAGTCTCCGCAGAGTCCTGAAACGCTTCTGCCTCCTCCGCTGCCTCCTGTGTGAGGGACTTCACTGCCTGGACAGTCTCGGAATCGATCTCTCTGGCTTCTGCATTTGTGTCCTTAAATGCAGGATGCAGTTCATTACCGTCTGTCTGGTTTGGCTTTTCTGTACTTGCACCGCTGGACTCGGAGCCAGGCTCCACAGCAGCAGGACGCTCTTTATGGGCGCCGTCGTACCCAGCCGCGAGAGCAACCCCACAGTCCATTAAATCCCCCGCATCCGATCTGCCACTCTGCTCACTGGTGTCTAAAAAAGTCTCCTGAGCCTCGAGTGCTTTTTTGAGAGCTTCCCCGGATCCTGCCTCCTGTGCCTCGACTGCCCCTGCACCCATGTGGCTCTCGTCCTCATCATCAGCATCATGATCCTCATTGTGGGCTTGCTCCTCCTCCTCCTCCTCCTCTTCCTCCTCCTCCTCCTCCTCCTTTACATGCTCAGGTGCATCTTTCTCCATTTCTGTTCCATTTTGCTGACCTTCATCTTGACTACTCACACTTCTGTCCTCTTCTGCTATGTTGTTCTTCTCCACTTCTAGTAAACTATCTTCTGCTTTTCCTGCTTCGGGTAACTCCAGAGACGCAGCATTTCTGGCCTCGTCCACATGTGGTGGAACGCTTTCGGGGGTTTTCAGCTCTTCCGTGGCACTAGAGGCTCGAGATGCACTGTTCTCTACCATCTCCTTTGACTCCTCTGCCATTGCCTGATAGTCAGGTTCCATAGGTGTCTCTGGCGGAGTGTACAAATTAAGCTTAAAGCCCGGCTTTCTCTCTTTGTTTTGCCTCCATTTGGATTGGCACTGCTTCATGCCTTTCGGCCACCCTTGTTTACCCACTGCAGGTTCCGGATTGTCTTTACCACCATCTTCCAGCATAGCTACATTCTCTTCCATGTCAACTGTGGGGTATCAAGAAGAAAAGACAAGAGAACACATTACTCAAACACAAGGTCATCCATAACTGGCTTATAAAAATGCCTTTGAGCAAGTAGGTCCTGCTCTAGATAGTCATATTCTAATAATATTTACAACAGCAGTATGAACCGCTTTACTATTATTATACACCACTTTATTACAATTTTAAAGCTGGGCATTAATATTAGCTATACTAAATTCCTGTTGCTTTCACAGAGGCATGCACACGCGGGGATCACTACAGCACACGTCTCCCAGTCTAACCAGTGAGTGAATCCAAACTCACTCTGGCCCACTACTGGAGAGTATGCAATTTATTCACCACTCACATGAACAAACACGCCACATCACTGCCCACCATGCTTTTGCTGACTTTTTAAAAGAAAGATAATACCAAGCTAAAGAAAAAAGAAGATGGAGTCTAAAAGATGCGATGGAATTACAAAAACCAGACAGGACACGAAAAAACGTAAAGATTCACAGCAGTAGCGGTTCTATAAATCATCTGAACTAACTGCTTCATATAGTATCAGAAATATCCAAGTAATCTTGCTTCAAAAAGGAGATCACATAATATGTTTTCTATTTACAAAGTAATAAACAAGTACCATTTTATGTGGAAAGTGTCTGTTTTAGCACTGAATGCATATTCTGAAGTTATGTGCGGGGGAAGTTGAGCATTGTTTTGACAAGCACCTCTGGCCAGCCAGGTTCTGAGAAGTCTGTCAAGCACATGTCCGTCTAACTCCCAGCCAAGTCTGCGCGCTCCCCAATTGCAAAGATGATGGACACCTTGGCATTTGTTTTAAGAAAGCTTACCTAGAAAAGCAAATGTCTGAACCAGGCCCAACTTGCCATCTTCAAAAATAGTTAACAGTTGTAAACATCTGTCAGCAGTAAGCGAAACATATCTTTGCATGCATGCATGTAGCTATGAAAACCACAATGTTTAATATCTGTTGCTCTTTTGTAGTTGTAAAACATTCAATATATGTTGGAATATAGAAAATAACAGCAGCAGCATCATTAGAATAACTGTACTAAGAAGCAATTCCCTGCAGGAAGGAACACATGTGAAAATACAAAATTCAGAGATTCTGGCCTCCTCTACCTCACAAACATTGGCTGTAAAATCCATATGGGTTTTTGCATTTGGTCATGTTTTGAACATGTTTTGCTCCAATAGAACACCCCAGTGGAGGAAAACTCTGCAAAAGCTAGCCTTAGCCCTAGGTTTGTCTGGCATGTGCAACCGCCCCCACTCCCCCCATGCTTTTTAAAAGCCAGCAAAATCTGCAGAGGCAGCAGTTCTCTGTGAGGTTCTAGACAGGAAAGCACCTGCCTCTACTGAGCCCCCCGATGAGGGAGCCACCTCAATTCATCACTCAGTACAGCTATACAGACCAAGCAGGGCTCATGCCAGGCCATTGGATGGCTGATGCTCTCCAGTGGATCTTAAACATTGTCCATTATATGAACTAAATTTATTGGTTTCTACTGCATCCTTACATGCTTTGTAAGTTTTTAATCAGGTGGGATGGCACTATGTGCTCAGTTTTAATAAACAGGCATGGCCGCGTGTTTCCAGCCATGTGCTGCCTCAGAAGCATTATTACTCTAGAGAAATAAATGGACTCTCTACCTGTACAAGTGCACAGGGGGCAAGACATGGGTGCCCACTTGCCCTTCTTCTTTTCTGCCATTGCTCCAAGGCCCAGGGCACCAACCGTTTACTCTAAAATGAAGTAATTCATGACAGAGCACCCCAGCCACTTGATTAATCTACTTCTTTCCAATCCCGAAACAGCTGTACAAGCACTAAAAGAAACAATGACCACTGTCCAACACCACGCTGGTCTTAAAGTAAATTTCAACGAATCAGACTTACTTTGCCAACCATTACCATTTCAAACCCAAAAGAAACTTCAAAATATATCCCAACTGTCTTTGAGATACTCCTTCTGAAAATACTGGGGCATTCAAAAGAATAATGGTTAGTGCAATGGAACTACACGCCTGTTTTAAAACAGATGAAACTTGAAACTTGGACTAATATGAGGTTATCTATTTGGAGCCACACTGTCTCTGTTAAAATTATGATTCTGCCCTAACTTGTTTACCTTTTTCACATTATTCCCTTCCCCAGAAGTTAACGAAATGGACCACTGGTGACTATTCCTATTCATCAACAAAGGGGAAAAGACCAGATTAATTACCAGTGCAGTCAAATGAAGGAAAGATTTGCTATACCCAATTTACAACTGTATTTTGTTTCCTTCCCAATTAACAAGCAACAAGCATACTAAAAATCGTATAGCCATATCCCGGGCTTCTATGGAAAGGTAAATAACACCTTCCCAGACCTAGCGCTTCTGATCAAGAACCTTGCCAGCATGGCACAGAGTAAGTGAGAAACCCCTTCCATACTGCAGCATTCAAAATTTAGGAAGCATGGGCAAAATATTTGCCAGTGCCACAGCCACTGTGGCACAGCGCGTAGGGTTAGGATTAGACTCAGGAGATCTCGGTCCTAGTCCCTGCTTGGCCAGCATGTTTGTTTGTTGACTAAATGCCAGCCACTGACTCTCAGCTCCCCCTACTTCACAGGGTTGTTGCAAAGAGAGGAGGATTATGTAAGCTGCCCTGGGTTCCTCGCAAGAAAGACCTTAGAGCTTGATGGGATGACCCTGGGTTCAAGTGTTATGGGAGAGGTGGGGAAATGCTCCCCCCCCCACTTTCTCCACACCATGCAGAATTTGAAAGCCCTTTATCATGTCTCCCCTTCCTCGCCTTTTTTCTAAGCTGAACATTCCCAGTTGTTGCAGCTGTTCCTCACGGGGGAGCTGCTCCACCCCCTAGTCACTTACGCTGCTCTTTTTGCAAGGCACCACGTCCCTTTTCAGGTAAGGTGGCCAGAACTGAATGCAATATTCCACGTGTGTTTTCACCCAGGATTTGTAAGAGGGAAGTAAAGTTCTGGCAGATGCAGCCTCTGCTCTGTTGCTAATAATGCCCAGCATGGAGTTTGCCTTCCTCACAGCAGCTGCGCACTGGACTGACCTTTTCCTCATCTGTCCGCCACCACCGCCAGATCCCTTTCTCGCTCAGTCACTACTAGCTCTGGTCCCACCAGCGTATACTTGGAGTTGGGTCTTTCTGCCCCAACACGCACTTCTCTACATTTGCTTCTGTTGAACTGCATCTGCCATTTTTTTCAGGATCAATGGGCATAGTTTCTTTCCAAGGAATGCTAAAACAGGCTCAGAAAGGAGCTACTCTACGAGGTCTCTCATGCAACTGTTTAAACTGAAGATTCTTCTTCACTGTAACTGACAGTCTCTTGTAACTTCCAAAAATTGGAATTGTTTCTAGAGCATCTCTGAGGTCTTCGATTTCCATTCATGCTTGTACCTTCCATTCTTTCCTTCCTCCTCTGAAGATGCTATGTAAGAACTGGACCTCTTTCTCTTGATCTAGGCCTTACACTGCACAGCAATGCCCATTTGTGTGACCACAACGAACAGCCAAAGGGATTGCTCTTCTGCTGGACGGCTTCCATCTTTTTTCACTGGGTAGAAGGCACATTTATTACACACATGTTTATGACATGCCTATTACATTCTTCCCTTGGTTTCTCAGTACAGGAAACTCCTCATAAATTTGTCTGATGAGGAAGCTATTTGGGGTTAGGATCCTGCATCAGCATTCCAGTGTTTCAGCCAAATGAATGCACTGAATGATGACAGCTAATGCCACAGCTCTGGTAAAGAGGCTTGTGGAAACCAGGCTGATGAATGTCAAAGATCATGGCTTTGGCTAACTTGTATAGATCTTTTCTCAGAAGCTTGCTTCCTGGTAGCATCTACTGCAGGAGTCTACGACCCACAGGTGGATATCATGTGATACTCCTAGACTAAATGGGAGTGTACAAGCTGGAGATCTGCTGAAAAGAACTAGATTTTGTGGGCTTTAAATAAGGCAACTTTTTCAAAAATCTCCTAGCTTATGAAGGTCTGTGCCCTATCTCCACCCTAAAGCAGTGGAGGATGGACTCTACTCAATGTTAGGCTATTCCAACTGTGGAAGGTTCTTATTGCTTATGTCTTAGACCACCATCTTCACTAGTTGATGAGAGCTATCATTCTCTATCATGTGATCACAAACATTCTCCAAGTGCTTGGGAACTGCATGGTCACATGCCTCTGAATCAAAATCAATGTGTCTTGTCTTTCTTGGCCATTATTAGAAATGGCCATGGCATGTGCTGGGACTTGCATGCTAACTGTACCCCAGTGACACTGTCCTCCTTCCTGTCCAGAGCAAGTCGCAGCCATGTGGCTCCCTCTCTCTCTGCTAAACTTGCAGCGTGAAGTTTCTATTCACCTGCATGTAACTACTTCCTACCTTGCCAACTAATGAGTCTGAAGAAGGGAGGGGAAAGAGACTAATGGAAGGTCAAAGAAAGAGAGATAAGGCAATCCACTCAACCTTTTTGCTAGAAAAAGCAGCACAGCAAAAAACTAAATTTAAAAAGTGTTCTCCTAGTAAACATTAGGATAGCAATTGGAAAATGACAGAAAATTATGGTTAAGCAGTCCTACTCTCATAGACCAGAAGAAGGAGTTATGTTCTCCAAGTTCACTGAAGGAGGACTGATTTTTTCTGATTTGGTAGGAACAAGCCTTCCAACTGCAGCAACATCTCCAACAACATTGGAAAATCAGTTACTGTATACTAAAAGTAACTGTGCAGATTAATTTATCTAAAACAAAAAGTATAATGGAAAGAGAGCAGGCCAAGGCTTCAAAGCTGTAGTTTATTTGAAATGCAAACAGCATGCCAACAAATGTTATCAAGGTTATTGCAAAACTCCATCCTGACCGTAGCTATGAAAGCAGTGCACAAACAGCGGTCCGAGCCACTCGCGTAATCCTACTGATGCTCATTCAGAAGAAAGCTCCACTGAGGTTCATGGGGCTCAGTCCCAGCAGGACACACACAGTGCTGCAGCCCAGACGCACACTGCACTCACCTCTGCATGGAGCGTCGCTTGGGTAACAGTGATTGTCTTTCTCTTTCTCCTCGTCCTCCTCTTCCTTTTCTGCAGACTGACACTGGAAATCTTTGTGAAGGCCAGCCTTTAATTCATCATTTTCTTCATCCACCTCGCAGGTGGGCTCCAGCTGTGTTGCAGGCCGCTCTTCTTCTGAGTTATCAAAGGGCTCGTTCAGAACTTCAGTGGTCTCAGAAATGGTTTCCGTTGTCACACTGCTATTAATTTTCCTGCGCTTACGACCTCTTTTCTTTTTCAGTATGGAAGGTCTCTAAAAATAACATTAAAATGTGAAAGTTTGGCAGAAGAATTAACATCCATCGCACCATTTAGTCCGCTTGGTAGCTCAAATGTTTCTGGCTCTCTGCCCCAGCCAACCTGCCCATAGCCATCCCCTTTCTCCATGTCGCCTCCCCGTCACTCGCACGCTCACCTCAGAAGCGGTGTCCAATGTGCCTCGGAAGCTGCAGTGCACACTGCTAAGAACAAGGTGGCCCCTGCTAGCCAGATTTAGGGTGGCAACTAGCCTGTTTTATTACCAGCCAAGCAAGACTGTGAATCAAACGTTTGCCAGCATGATTAGGCAATAACAAAGACGGGGCGAAAATCTAAAATTTCTCCATTCTAAAACTATGAATTTACTTCATTTAATGCATCAAGAATGGAAGTTTTCAAAAGGAAAAAAATAAGTTGCTTCTTTATAGCTTGGGTATTCACTGAAAGCAATGAAGATCATTCAGTTCCTGCACTGAACTCCACTGAGGTTAAGAAATAATATTGCACTCCAACAGAAAAAAACAAAACAAAACCCCCTATTCTTCAGGTTGCAGAAATTCAGTTCTGCCACAAGCACAACCCTGTGATTCACAACGGTGGACTCTAAACTGTGAGTCAGGAAGTAGGGTGGTAAAAAAGAAGTACTAGTAAGAAAGAAGGAATGTATGACCAAGACCAGAAAATTTTATTTTTGTACCTCTTCATTTACTATACAGATCAAGACAGTGAACTTAGAGCTTAAAAGGAACAGAGAACCATACAGGAATGGCCAATGAATTCAATCAATTTCAATTAACACCCTTTGCAACCAATAGAGGGCAATATTGAAATATAATTATGTGTATTAATAGTAACACTCTGAAGAGAACAAAAGCTACTACAAATACTAGAAACTGCTAAAAGTATAAAAATACAGAAAATATGGCAAAGGGGGAATATTCAAATGCTCAAAAACGTTGAGTGTCATTTTACAGGCAGTATTAGGAAAACAGGCAGTATTAGGAAATCATCACAATTTTTAAGTAACTGACCTTCCTCTTGGTGGCAGGCAACTGGGGCTTTGCCAGCTTTGGAGGAGAATGCTGATGATGCCCATCTGCGTCCTCCTCCTCTTCCTCCTCCTCCTCCTCTCCCTCCTCCTCCTCCTCCCCACTGCTCTCTTTGGGTGGATCTGTGGCTTGCCCTCGCTCCGCTACTACAGTGACATTCTCTGGAGGCCTTGAATACTTGGTTTTAGATTGCACTTTTGCGGGCAATTGCCTACTGGCTCTTGTGGAGAACAGGTCTTGCTCTTCTTTTTCCCAGCAGCTTGCTTGTTCCATCAGTCGTTCCGCCTGAGGGGCAGAGGGGTTAAAACAATGGGCCACTGAAACAGCATCCAGTCATTATTTTTCCAGTTTGCCTTTAAAAAAACTTGAAATACGCAGCCCAGCCAAAGGACACCCAAGCAACAGCATCTCAGCAGTCCTGTTACTGGTTCCTCCATAACAAGCAAGATAACTAATCAAAGGGGACTGCAGTCCAAGAGATCTCTAGCACTATTAGCGAGGCAACAAACAGATGTTAGTTCTTCTGGCACTAAATCAGGTGCAGCGATTTGAGCAACTTTATAAATGTGAACAAACTGAGTGAAACAAGAAACCTCTTAATTCTGAACCCAACTTCATGGGAGACCATGAAGTGATACCAAACATTCCCGCATTTAAATCCACACCCGAAATTCTAAACAACTAGTTTGTAGCTCATCTTTCAATGACTAGCTTAAACCATTTTGCGTTCCTCTTAGAACTGTGTGTGTGTGTGTGGGGGGGGGGGGCTTTGTTCATGCCATCAGGATAAGCCTCCCATTCTTTCTACATCCAAGACTAAATCCTCGTCCCTTTCTTTCAAGCACTATCTGGGCTTGCTGTTTTAATTTTTTCTGCCCATTCTTCTTATTGCTTCCTTTGCCAAGATTTCATTTTAGATCACATGGTGCCTGTCTTCTCTTTCCTGAACCTTAACCTCAAACCCCACATTCCATGTGGCCTTTGGGTTACCGTTAGTCCTCAACCCAATCTGAAATGAAGCCTGATTTGCTCACATTTATCTCCTCGGGTTTGATTCTTTTGCCTATTCTCCCTGCCTCACCTCAATCATCCCCGCCCCCATTTGCTTTAGATCATACGGTGTTTGGGGAAAGAACCTGCTTTTGCTTATGCTAACGTATATGCAGTGCAATGCACACCAATGGAGCCAGATAAATAAATCAAAAATATGCTGCCTCCTGACCATCTTGCCACATGAGTAGCCACGGCAGCTCAAGATAACTTAGTACATTATGCCAGTCCTCTTTGGCAGATCCACTTCTATAAACATTTAGGATGTGGTTGCCAGACTTATACATCTGCTATTACCTCTTTTTCAGCTTCTCTCTCTTCCTCAGAAACCGCTGCGTTAGGAACTAAAGGGGGGTTCCACCTCAACTTTTCTGGATCTACTTCGTTGATGCGTGGATTGGTTTTCAGTTTCTCCATGTGGCTTGAGATCAGTTTCTCCCTTCTAATTACTATAAATCTACAATTTAAACATATCTGATATTAGGATAAGAATATACAAATAACCAAATGGGAGTGAACATAAAGCTGTAGCAGGCTTGGATCTGGGTTGGACATTTATCCTTTATTTATTAAATGTATATCTGTCCTCTCCAAAGAATGTACCCAAGGCGGTTAACAGCATGTGGCATGGAAGTTGTTTCTGCCAAGCCATTACTCCTGTGCCTGAAGCAGCCTCCAGTCCACCGGCAGGCAAGAGGGCCACGGATTCAAGCATAGGATCATTGTTAGGAAAACAGAAAAGATCTAGACAGGTGACTCACCACTGTCATGTAGTACAAACCAGCATGATGCTTGGTGAAACACTACTATTAAACTGTTCAGACTGTGCGAACCAATCCACTTTTTCTCTACTGAACCCCCTCTAAGGTGCCCACACACAAAACAATGAATCTATAGGAAGGTAGGGAAATATTGACCTTACTGGCATTTTTTTCTTCTCCATGAAGTCAAGAGGGCATCCAGGTTTAGATCAAGTCCCTCCTTTGGAACCATGTACACAGGAACAGTATGGGGGGGAAGCAAATAATGGGTAACCGAGTTTTCAAGTCTTTAGGACCAAGCCCTTCAGCTCCCAAACATCGTTTCAGCATGGTGGAGTCCATATTTTAATGCCTGGTATATGCAGGGCTTTTTTTGTCATCAAACGCACCAGAACAGCGTTCCGGCACCTTTTTTTCCAATGGATTTTACGAAGTGATTTTGAATGGTAGCAGATCAGCAGCAAACCTCATTAACATAGTGCCTGCAGGTTGCTTTTGTGTCTGCTATCTGCTATCTGAAAGTGAGATAGTGAGGGCGCTGCTCTCTCGGCTTGGGATGCTCCGCTGTTTGTGTGGTCGCGCGCTTACTGCCGGTGACGTGAGTGCTGGCACCTTCTTTTTTTACAAAAAAAAGCACTGGGTATATGTATGTTTGCAGCCTAACACATAAGCTATAGGGAAGAAGGGCACATTTTCCTCAAAGACAGAAGCAAGAGCCATTCCTCTCACCAGTGGGCCGGGCATCTTCTGAGGCACAGACACCTGTCCACATTCCAGCAGTCCCCTGACTGTGCTGACAACTAACACTTTTTTTCTTTTACACTAGAGTGACTGTGCTGAAAGAAACCAAGTACGGTGCTTACAGACAGGCTTTGCCTGATCTGCACAGCGCTTTCAGCACCACAGAGATGTTTAAGGCGTGCCACTTCCTCTCAGACTGAAGACAGAAAAGTGGGGAAATGAGCTCTTGAGCCATGCAAAAGAAGCACTAGTCTTGGGAATAAAAAGCAGCTGTGGGCAAGAATGACCTTGCACATTTTTCACAGTAAATTCTCATTCTGACGTAAGAAAGAGTTTGAAAGAGAAGTAAGAAAGAGAAGAGTAAGAAAGAGAAGAAGCGTCAGCGCGTAGAAGTTCACACCAGTGTCTAAGCAAGGCTCACAGAACATTTTCCACATCCCATAATGATGCATAGCTGTGGGAGAGATGAACTCTTTGATGGAATCTTTTAATGTGCTGTGATCAGTAATTAGCTCCTATGTACCAAGAAAAAATAGTTCTGTCAGCACAGCCTGAATCTTTGAATATTTATGGTGGCCTTACCAAGAGGTCACCTGCCTTGTTGAGAACGTATCTGTTCTCCGGGGCATGCTGGGAATGCCTGAAAGGAAGGCGAAAGGCCTGAAGTTCCAGGAAACATATGCTTCTCTTGGATTCTGACAAAGTCCCTTGCAACATGCATTTCCACAGCGATGACGACTCTGCAAGGCCGCAAGAACAGCAAGTACGTCTCAGTTCATCCATACTGCTCTCCTACTGCTGCTATCCTGTGTTGTAAAAGAACTGACTGGAGTAGCCAGGGGTGGTACCGGTCCCACAAAATTCCTTCTGGACAAGGAATCACTGTCCCTTGGCATTTGACCATCTGTCTCAAGAACAAGCTCTGTTTGAAGAAAGGGAATGTGAGAGTGGACTCTCCACAACCAGACTGACATGACAAGGATAAAATTAAGGGATTGTACTGGAGGGAGAAGGGAAGCGCCCTGGCAACTATCAGGAACCAGGTTTGGTGGGGCTTATTTTAATCTTCAAAACTGAAATGGCCAAAGCATATGACTTAGAGCCACCACAATAGTATTCCTCTGTCCAGATTTCCTGAAAGCCCAAATGATGGCTGGCATGTTTTCTCTCAGTCAGGAGGAAAGCGTGGACCCCAAGGATCAAGACAATTCCATTAAACTGCAGGTGGTCATTGGGTGGTATTTCTTACATATAAAACGAAGACCAATGGAATGAGTCTTCAGGGTTAAGTTTCAGATGTGGTGTAGGTGGTATCAACAAAGCAAGAAGCCAGTCATCTGTACTATGGAAACTTGCCAATATATGTGGAAATCATAGCCATACACCTCACGAAAACCTGAAACAGGGGTGGGGAGGGGTGTGTTTTCAATTTAATACTCCCTCAGGTGGAAAGTTAGAGGTAAGAGGAAGGGAGCTTGCATTTTCACTTCTTAGCTTCTCCCATTTCCTGACCTTGAAAAGGAAAAGAGAGGATATACTCCCAAAGAAGAGCCACAAGGAGCTTGCAATCCTTCTCCAAACCCAGAGAGCAGCTGGAGAAATTTCCCTTGCATTTGTGCCTGCCTCATTTGGACCTGCCTATGCAGTCCTGATGGAGGGACTTCTCCCAATCCAAAATGCCTTCCTGCCTCCAGAGAGACAACTGCAAGAAAATGTGTGCAACAACCAAAGTGGGCAAAAGGACTAGCAAACACAATTCAGAAGACAGCGAGTCTAGTCTAGCAATGAATGTTTACTGACTTTTCTGCTCTCCTGTCTATCATGCTGTGGTGCTGCAGAGTGGTGGCAATGTCATGGGGACACATTCCAGTTGCTCGGCTCATTCCTTTGATGCTGATCTGTTTCTCATGATGACAGTAAAGATATTCCAGTATGACACTTTTCCAATAGGCCAAGTAGGAGACACGACCCAGGTCTGAGAGAGGCTTTTCAGGTGATCCTGCTTGTCCCTCTCTTCTAGAAAGTAAGTAACCTATTGGGAGGGGGAGGGGCAAAAACCACACATGTGTCACTAATGCAGTCAGCCGCGAGTGTTTAGAACCCATCCTTTCAGAAATGCCATGCAGGAAAAGCATCGGAATGAGTACCCCATTAGTAAGGCCTACATTAAAAAAAACCCCACTGCAATGCAAAGTTTCCTCTAATTTCTCACATTAAACTAGCGGCAGGCAAACTAGTGATGTTGGCTTGCCTCAGAACAATTTTTCAAGCTCACAAAGCCTGAGGTTTTTTGGAACAGCTTCTTAAAAAAGCACAGAGCATGGGCACCCCTCCCTTGCCAGTCCCCACAGCCCTTCACAAGCAAAAGGTTTCCTCTTCGGGAAGGAGGAGGGTTCTGTGGCAGTGGGCCACCTCACTAGAGGAGGAGGAGACAGCCTTCTGCAGCAGTGAGCATATCTGGCAATTTGCGAAATTGTCCAGGGCACCACCACAAGGTGACTGCCATGAGAGACCCGGTACAGGGTAAGTAACTTGCCCTAAAGACTGAGTACGAGGTCAAGAAGGGGCCTAAGCCCCCACACAATAAGCAACTCTTTTGAACCCAGAGTTTTCTGCACTAGCAGAAACCTTTTCTTGACACTGCTCTCAGTAGCAGCTTAGAAAATGTGCTATTTCTTTTTTGAAGTACTGCAACCTCAGGTACCCAGAGGTGCCCACTGGTACCCATGAGTACCATGTTACCCACCCTACGCTAGAGACAGGAGAGCTCTTATTAGACTATTCCAGATTGGGAAATTATACTCCCAAGATCCATCAGGAACATCATTTAGTGTCGAGGAGCATAATATTTGTATTTCTCTTCCAAACTGGATCAGATGTAGAAGAAACTACATATCCCATCCTCCCTGACTGGAACATCAGAAGGAATGTCCTAGCAAACCTTTCTCACCAGCCATTACTCCTCCTCCTTTTCAGATGGAAATTTGTTTTACTTGGAATGGGCTAGTAAACTAACAGGGAGGGTTGTTCAGTGTAGAACCAAAGCTCATTCAAGCCACACATCTCAAACGGGACTGGAGCGAGCTAATCATGGATATTCTATTTTGAACTCACCAGTCATTAAACAAAATAGACATATACAAAGGCACATAATCTCAACATTTTAAATCCAAGCAAACAGTTTAAACTAAACAGGACCATAATTTTAGGAGGACAACTCAACACAAAACAGTTACAGTATGTTATTGTTTGAATACATGTGAACTCAGAAGTTCACTTGCAGGATCTCAAAAGGGAATCCAAGACAGCCCTTTCAATCTCCTGCCCTGCACACACCTTTAATGAAATGTAGCCTGTAACTCAGAAACGTTTCATAATTTCAGCTCTGAAAAATTATTTTAAAGGCATCTTTAAACACCATTAATTTTTAAAAATGCAAGTGAACAAGTTAGTCTCACTGTAAAAGAAAACAACAATCTGACATCTGTTCAAATGTACATTCGAAAATACCTGTTAAAGCTTTTAGAAGCAAAAAGTCTATGTATAAAATAGATCAAGCCTGCTTGAAGGTAATGACAATTTCAGATCTGGTTGGCGAGCAAACCAAGATGAACCCCAAATGGTTAAAGTATCTTCATGTTTCTTCATATGTGCAGTTTCATGCTGAATAGCCAAATGCTGATCTTCACAACAGAATGCCAGGAAATCAAGTCACCACAGAATTTGATTGAATAGGTTTATTACTTTCCACCCCTTCATGTGCTTTTAAGAGCTGAGCTTCTTTCTTTCAGAAAGGGAATTGATTTTTTTCAGAAAACTTTGAAGTCAACTTTCAAGAACAACGTATGACTTGTTTGTGAAGAGTCCAGTAAAATTTTACCTTTCTGCACACATACACAGTCACTTCTTGGTGGTGCATCTGTTTAAAATGTAAAGCTAAAAGCGCATATATATATATATATATATATATATATATGAGCCTATATATAAATAAACAGAGCCTTCTGGCATTGTAAGGTATTCATTGTTGTGTATACTAAGGCTTTGCATAGTTTAGCTGTCCAGTATAATCACAAGACTTCCTGATCTTTCTTCTGTACTAAAATGTAATACAAAAAAAGCTCAGTTGGTAAACTGGTATAAAGAAGTACAGCAGAAATACCATCATGTATATCTCACCAAACACCTGGACTGAAAGAAGGTTTTGGTCCAATTTAGCAATAAAACAATGTTTGAACATTAGGTTTAGAATCTCTCAGCAAACGGACACGTTGCGCTTAGCCTTCACATAGCAGCGCACAATGTGCAGATGGTCACTTCACATAAATTGTTCTAGTTCTTCTAACACTCCAGTTAGGTAAGTTTGTATTGTTTTCCCTATATTACAGATGGTGGAATGACATTAAGATAGTGGGTGGCCTAAGTCCACCTGGTGAGCTCATGGCACAGGAAAGATTCCAACCTGATTTGTAGTTCAGTCACTAAGTAACACTAGCTTCCAGTAAAATGGAAGAATATCACAGCTTACCGCACCACAATACACAATACAAATGCTATATCCCATGCATTTACTGGCTCATCTCCTTGTCATATGCAGAGATAACCAAATTAAAAGAGTTCTGAGAAAATACCAAAGTTCCTATGTTAAGGGTATCTAAATTGTTTCAAAATATCTGTGGAATTCTGTAGATTGCAAATAAGTACCAAGAGTTTGGCATCTATGAAGAAGATTACAACAGCTTCTATAACAATGAAGCAAGTTAACACTCGGCAACTTCCTGTTGTTACCAAAACACACTGTCTTCTCTAACATTTGGAACTTCAAAAACCATCAACCTATATAAATGGAAAGTAAGAACATGCTGTACACCAGGGCTCTCCAGATGTCAATGGACTACAAGTCCCATTATTTTCAACTAGTTGCTGTTAGCTGGGGCTGATGGGAGTTGATGTCCAACAACATCTGAAAGGTGATAAATTCCCTGCCACTGCTATATACATTAACTGCAAGACTCAGTTTACTTACAGCAAGCATTAGTTAATTGGTTGTGGTTAAGTTACATCCATTAAATTAAACTTACCAAAAAGATTCCAAATAATTGATCTAAGTTGCAGGTAAATAAAAAACATTGATCTTGGCTGCTCGTGTATTTATCCTGATGCATCTGAAATGAGTACAACATGTCCCTGTTAAATAGATTACCCCAATGTCGTAATATCCATCTTGTCTAAACAGTGGATATCCTAAAACCGATAGGATTCCCTAAGGATTTGCAGCCTAATTGAAAAACATCCGAGCCAGCTGTGTTTTAATGGGCAAAGCATTATGTCCACAGTACACAACTGTTCGTGAAAATTGTGCGTTATGAGATGTAATAGAGCTCGAGTAAGAGCAAGGCTAAGAGAACTTCCCCACCTCTTCAAAGGAATAAATGACATTAGACCAAGACTACCTAATTCATACAAGTCAGTAATCAATCTATTAGCCAGAAAAACAAACAATTAGACACACGAATCCAACCACCTATATTAATTAGAACATTTAATCCAGCTCAACATAGGGTTCCTTCTTTTGTCAAGCTAGTCTGGCAAATCTTTCACCAGCCCAAATTTGAGTAAGCACAGTACAATCAAAACTGCCCGACAACGCAGGAAGGAGCTTTCAGCTCCCCTTGCCCTCTGACACAGAATTCTCCCTCTCCTTTCATAAAGAACATTTTGATAGTATAGATCCAGACCTTCCTTGTGCACAAAACACGCACTTTTACCATTATATTCTGCTTCCTCCAAGAAATTACTGCTCATTTCATTCACAATATAAAGTAGTAAATTTTAAGATAGCAACAGCATAAGTAGAAGTTGCATTTATAAAGGAATAATGATGAATTGAGCTTTATCATCACTCCCTACTTGATAGGAAATAACTTATGTCCTTTCGGATATGAACAGATATACTATTCTGCAGAACAGTTATTTTTAAATGGCATTGGAGAGCTAGTTTTTTATATTGCAATACATTCCATAGTTCACCTGCCACAAGGTGAACTACCGTATTTTTTGCTCTATAAGACGCGCCTGACCATAAGACACACCTAGTTTTTAGAGGAGGGAAACAAGAACAAAAATATCAAATGGGCACATAATCACAGGCACATTCCCCATCACTTCCCCATGGGCTGCACATCTGACAGACTTTCGCTCTATAAGACGCACAGACATTTCCCCTTCCTTTTGAGGGGGGGAAAAGTGCGTCTTATAGAGCAAAAAATATGGTACATATTCTGTTGAAAGATTTCATTCAGAAAAAAATGGCACAAAGCTGCTAAAATTTATCCCAGAATTTCATTTCACCAAAATAAAAATAAAGTGTCTACAGAAAAGCATCTGATTGATTAAGTGGGACAGGCCGTGCATGACCTCAAGAATCAAAATTCTGCTGACTGTCAGCTCGGATAACTGTAAGTGGGTTCAGGCAAAAGCTATCAGCTGCTAGTGATCAAGTTGGCTGCAAGTAACCTCCAGTAGCAGAGGTGGTATAGCTATCAATACATTGCTAGCGGATGCAGATGCTGTTACTTTCAGATTTATTTATTTATTAGATTTATATCTCACTTTTTTTTTTTACAATGAATTCAAAGTAGCTTAAATAATCCCCCCCACTCTCAATCTTATCCCCACAACCATCACCTTGTGAGGCAGACTGGGCTGAGAGTGTGGGTCACCTCCTGGGTGACCCAAAGTCACCCAGGAGGCTCTGTAGCTGAGTGGGGGCTAGAACCCAGCTTGCCTGGGCCCCAGTCCTGTGCTCCTATCCACTACAGCGCAGTGCCTTTCATATCCTGCTTGTTGGCTTCTCGCTGTTGCATCTGGTTGGCCATCATGAGAATAAAACTTGGGATAGACCTTTGGCCTGATCTAGCATGGATCTTTTGTTCTTTAGGAAAAGTATCCTTTCATCCAAATATCTGCAATATATATTTAGCCTTTCATCACCTGTCATTGTGGCATCAGTAGAGATGCAAAGGCCTGGGA